CAGCAGTCGATATCGTGGTCCGCGTAGCCAACACTTTTCAACTTCTTGTAAATCTCCATCACGTGTCTTGTGTAGTCGGACTACGTGACGCGAGGCTGGAATTGGGTTCAGGGCTCCCATCATGTTTGTGTACGGCGGAGCAAATAAAGAATCACGACTCATTGACTTGGAGGCTGTGCCACCGTGCCGCCCCAGAGTTGCAGATAGTTGTTCAAGAAGGATAAGAGAGAAGTACAGAAATGCTGCTGCAAAGGCAGATAGAACCTTCAGAGCAACAAGGAAGGAAGGCCAGAAAGACGTTATGATGTGACCAAGGACCTTTGGTTCCAAAGTCGTTTCTTAAAGCATTGTTGTGAGCATTATTCCTGCTTCTATGTCCAGTATGACTGGCATGACTGCCTTTGCTAGGAATACGTGACTATAATACTAGTTGCTAGATTGCTTATACTCCCACCGTAGTAGTGCCTCTTCTTGATCGCATATTTTGCCATTCAGCGCATGAGAAGGACAGCTCCAATAAAGCATACCCTCCAAACATGTTCCGCGTCTTTGGTCAACAGAGAAGGGGCGTGGCAGCAACAAACGATTGGGACAGGGATGACGGGGTAGTACTAAGTAGCACTGATCTCAGCATTATCAGAAGGAAGTCTACTCAAATTGGGGTATTCTCGGGTGCGTAGCTCTATTATTGTAGCCCTGGTATTTTTTGCCGATCGAACTTTGTAGGGTTCGGGCTCCGAACTTGTTGGAAAGTAGTCTTGCGGACATTTTCTTGCCTGGCAGAGCAAGTTTACTGCCACCCTCTGTAGCTGAAAGAAAAACAGCACGGCTGCTTTCTCTGGTTTAAGCTCTTCGAGGCTGCCTCCTTGTTTTCCCTCTTCGCTTGCGACATCTGATTATTGTGAATTTCAGGAAGGAACAATCAGAACCCGATGGGCAACAACAAAGGCCATGGTCCAGTCACTGCACTAACCATTGCAGTAGCTTAAATCAAAATACTGCTCTGCTAATAAAGAGGTGGTACACTGCCAACAACAACAACAACAACAACGACGACGGTAGAAATATAGAGCTCGAACACCAGCCAATTCAGCAGTAGCAAAAGATGGCAAAAGGCCAAGAAATAGCAGAATTCAATGAACAACACACACCATAGAAAACTCATGTGGAATAGCACTGATCACTAATCACAATAATCATTCATTGAATGGGAGCACTCCTGATAACACGATGGCTAGCATTGGCAGTCTTCATAGCGCTAGTAACACAGACAAGATGGCAGCCTCTGAGAGGAATGGAAGGAAAGTCGAGCAACACCAGTAAAAATGATGGTAGATACTCAGAATCGCGGGAACACCAAAGTCGGAACGATAGTAGCAAGCCGCAGAAGGCCACAAGACCGTTCCAAACCAGGAAGAGCCGTGCAAATGCCTCAAAGCCCCAGAAAAGAAATAGCAGCGTCGTGAGTTAGGCTTGCAGCTTGCAGAAAAAGTGAGCCATTGGATTCAGACTTCACCTCTTGGCTTTGAACATTAATTGATTTGCTTCTGGCACCATGTTGTACCAATTTACATTGATTCTTCGGTCGATTTCTTCGGCAGTGAGCATTGTGCGAGTGGCTCGAGTGCAGATGAATTTGTCTTTGTCTGTACTCTGCACAATGGCTTCTAATGCAGTTGACAACCGAAAGTGTTAGCTCTCACAAGCTTCGGAGTCCTGAATGGGCGGGTAGCTCAAGGTGAAGCGGCGGTTCTCAAACAGGGTCGTCCGCTCAGTGTAGGAAAGTCCTTGAGCAAGAACTGCATCCCACCTCCACCTCCATGAAGACATGGTCTGCCCACTATCCTACGTTTGTCATGGAGTATGCGGCTGATACCCTCCCTGCAGCCGCAATAAGTGCTCCAAACGATGTAGATGAAGAGGCCAACCCCTCCCTCAATGCGACCCATCCGCTAAAAGAACAGAGAGGCCATTCCGACCACAACATAGCCCTGGAATCCGTAAAATCCTGGAACCTTCCGTTCGCAACTGCCTTCAAACATCGCTACGCCTTGGGCAGAGGAGGCCTACAAGAATCTCCGCCGAGTGTCCCATTTCTTAGCCTTCCCAGCCGCGAGAAACTAGCGGGCGAGCACTCCAAACAGATTGCTGCATACTAAATTGGATTCCTACAGTGTAGCCGTAGCAGCAAACCGGAAGATCACAATGCCCTTCTGACCTTCTCAAGGCCGCCTAACATAAGATGATGTTCGCGGTAGGGCAGGCTAAATGTAAACCCCCCAAATAACTTACGATTCTAAATAAGAAGGGGTACCACCCGGGATCAATTCCAGTTCTCAATATTCCGTTTCTGCCTTGTTATTATTCGGCATGGGGCAAAAGTTGGCTCTATTCCGTACTCCGTTTATTATTCCGTTGGGCCGAAGTCTGGCTCTATTCCCACTTTGATAATTATTGACTGCCCAACAGCATTCCTGGCCCTGCTTGAAGATTCTATTCACAACGTGGTCTTCCAAAGCAGTTTTTCCTATTGCAAGTAAATACGTGGTAGAAGAAGTGCAAGTAGTAGCTACTAGTGCGATACTTGGGCCAGTGACCGCACTGCCAACGCAATGTCCGGGAGATTGTGGCATTCTGTTTTCATTGAGAAGCAAAGGGGCAGCCGCATACATGGCCCCGGCATGAAAAGTTGTTTCCACTATTTCGAGTAAGGGGTTGCATTCTTTGATAACCTCCGTGCAGTGTGGGCTTCATGTTGGGCGCGTAGCCTCCACAATCAACAGGGTTCTGCTCAAGACAATCCTGGCAGGCGAGCCGATGCTTGGCCCTTACAGGGCCCTGGCTGTCAGTCAAATGCCCCTGACGCAAGCACGGCTACATGTACCTTTGGTGCTCAGGGTCAGAAGCCAGGCGTCGAGGCCTGGCATTCTTTGTGCAGTGAAGTCTGTCTATCGAGGTAGCAGGAAGTCTTTGCTGCTGCACTGTTCCTCAGCCACCATTCAGGATTCTCCTTGACGCGGCCAGCTTTTGTTATCGATGGCCCCCTGTGCTTTGTTTGTGTTTCACGCAGATCGCGGGCACTTCAACTTCTGTTTTCCGCTTGCTCGGGCGTTGTCCCAGCATGGTTGGACCTGCGAACTATGGACGAATGCCAACTGTTCGGAGTGGATCATCCCTGGTGCTTTCCACAAAGTTCGCTTGGAAGCCTTGCTAGCACTAGAGTTTGGCTGGGATCGTTTCTGCGCAACTGAGGACACATGCAACTGATCCTAGACACTCATGGACGTAGTGTATCGTTTGTTGCGGGAATGCGTGCTCGGGACACCGTCATGTTCTGGGCTGCGCACACGCATACAAAATCATGCGTCGCAGCTCGCTCTCCGCATGTTTGTCTCAAGTTGACAAGCAGCATCAAGCGTTCTGGAAGCCGGACTGACCGGCAGTGCCGGCAGCTGCATGTGTTGCTTTCTCGAAACAAGATTTAAGGGTGTTTTCAATCGTTCGCAAAACAAGGTTTAAGGGTGCTGTCAATCAGTGCAAGGATCTGGGACACTGCAATCTACCCGACATCACTGCTGCATACAAATCGTGCGTCAGTACGGGCGATACTGATGCAGATGGTCAAGCGGCCCTGTTCGACAATAACTTCGCGGCCTGGAAGCACATCATGGCTTGCAACGGGCCGATGATTCCTGCGAGCGGCTGAGATAGCACAGACTGTGGTTGAGAAGGCTTTTGCTGCATTCAGGTTCATAATCCCTTTCGTATTGACACGCAGCGCCGTCTGGTCAAGGTAAGCCATCAGGCCTCACCCACCAAGAAGCCTCCCATGCTTGGCACATTGCCCAGCGGGCTCAATATGCACGTACTGCATGTATATGTATATACACATGTGTGTACACATGTTGAGGGCTTTGAGCCTTGCATGATTGCATGTGCTGTTTGCTTTTTCTCTTTGATTTGATCCACCGCTACACTCTGTGTGTGTGTGCTACTCATTTCGACCGTCATCACTTCGTCGAGCTCAATGTGTGGTTCACCGCAAAAGTTTGTATTTGCATGGCGCGTGGTTAGCTTTAACAAGCACATTCCCTTAATCTGTTCATGCGGAAGCAAAACCCTTCCCATCAGGAGCACCCCAAACTAAAGGACAACGAGCCCTCAACTATTCAACTTTCAGCCGCCCTCCGGTTTGTCCTGGGCCCGAGGAGCTGTTCTGTTGCTATGAATGCAATTCTATCCAGACCTGACGACAGCATTACCGATGAACCTTCAGATACTTAGGCAGAACGAACCGAGCAAGTTTTCCGCCTTTAGGCGACGGTCCTAGACAAATGTACGGGGCTGCGAAAGCGTGACATGTTCAAAACGTGTACCCCGAAGCGACCTTTCTGGCATGCTCCTGCCGAGCGGTATCATCAGGTGATGTTGCACACGCGTCGGCCTCATCACGCCAACAAAGGCTAGGATACCCTCAACGCCTCCTGCATGCCTATAGTGGAACTTCGCATGGCGGCTCCTGGCTTGATGCACAACCTTTCATACAGAGCTTGCCACTAGTAGCCAATTGTTCGACCCTTGCCAACTATTTTGCATGCAGGACTATCTGCCTGTGAAAGTGGTACATGTGGCAATACTCCTGCGCCATTCAATCTATTGCTTCGAAGAGGTTCATGATATCCGGAAAAAGCAGTAAGTGAACAAGCCTCCTCGGTCATTCCTGCGCACGCAGAAGATACACTGTCAAATAGCCCATCTGCATAGAATCTAGATTGGTCTATGAACCATCACCCGGCCGGCGGAGGAGCTCTGTAGGCATTCAGAATGAGACCTCCCGGCCAGAAAAAGCGTTAAGCATTCTGAGAAGATTTAAATGACTACTTCTTCCGGCCCCCCTCAGTATTCGCCCACGGATCCAGTTTCGGGTGGAACCCCGTGCTTGTCAGCTCCAAGAACCTCCAATGTGCGCGTTCGGATCTTAAACACTGGCCCCCAGCAAGATGGTGCACGAATGTTGCGGGATCCCCAATCAACCTGAAGAGCTGTTTGGGGACTCCGACTACTCAAGTCTTAAACTAAAGACTATTGTAAAACTAGCCATCAGCATTGTCGCTGGAGTTTGCTTGATCAGTCGGTCGTAGGTATCTGCGGGTTTTGGGGCTTGGGTTCTGTGATTCCTGGATTCCTTGTTCGCTTCCGCTATTACAGGTTGCGGATGGAAGGTTGTCATAGTGCGAATTGTTCCCTCAAGATTGGCAAAGTCGGCTGAAGGGTTGCACCCTCATTCTGCAGTGTTGGTATTGGAGATGCAGAGAAGCTGTCAGAAATGTCTTTGAGGTGAGGGAGATGGCTTTGGTGACCACCCTGTTTCAGCTGCGGGCGCGTCGGCCTTTGAGGAGCGAGTGTCAAAGGTGGACGTGGAATGCGTGGTTTTCGAAGCAAACTGGGGCGGATGGTCACGTGAGCTGGCGGCTGCTCATGGGAAACTTGGCAGAACTGTTTTCGAAGCGGGTTTGCAGCTTATTCTCGTCTCCATTTGCCTGCCGGCCAATCACGTTCGATCGTTTTTTCATAAGGGTGAGGTTGGTGTGCAGGATGGGTGTGGCGAGAAGAAACGGTCTCTGGCAGAGATGCCGAAATCTTCCTTGAGTTTTCCAAATTTATTGGTGTCCATCCTTGAGATGCCGTGCGGCCTCAGTATCTTCATCATCTGATGGTCCCCTTGTTACCTTCTTTCGGCCAGCATAGATGGCGGTAGATGCCGCGGCCTCTCCACCTCAGCAGCACAGAAGCTTGCTGGCTACGTACTGCATTGGTCGGCTGGCAACCACCCTGCGCACGGATCTCACTTTGTAAGGCACATTGCTTAACTCCAGCTGCCTTCAAAAGTTTTCAGTTCTTGTCAGTCCTATGATTTGCAGTATACAATAGACGCTCACATTCCAACATATGAACGGCCAAATCACATGCAGGCAGACTGAGAGGTTTGCACGGGGCATAGGGTTTGCCTTCGGGCCAAGACAGATAACATCAAATTGCTATTTTCCTAAACTGATTCAAGGCTCTGTTGATGGGTCGTACATTGTAACACGTCACGCTGATCCATCGATTTCTACCTTTCCCTTGAAAAGCACCACGAAGGAAGAAAGCAGTTGGTTTTATGCCGTCGTATCGGGACCCCTTCAGAGCTGCATATTGCTCAGATGCCATTTGGAATTTCGATGGCCACTGTATCGTCAGGAACCGGCCACAGGACATAGACAATTTTGGGCATCTTGCGCGGGAGGAGGTGTCATTCGTAATTGCAGATTGCTTGGTGGGCAGGGCGGTGGATTGTGGAGGTCGTCGTCGCTTTGGTGCTTTTCTTCCCGGCATAGAGGATGCGTTGCCTCTCGATGCTGGTTTGCAGAAGTGGTTGGATGCTCCAGATATGGCCCGGGAGTTGCAGACCGTTACGCTTGTAGCCCTGGGAAGTCAAAGTGCGCTTGGAACTGTCAGCAAGGATGCAGAAGTCAAGCTGATGGAAGGATGCTTGCTGGCTTCCCCACGCGTGCTAGCCGTGTCAAGATGTGACCAGGGATCACTTGGCACCGAAGTACAAGCTGCAATAACCAGCGGTCGGCTTTTCGTCATGCCGCACGTGCCACAATGGGCAGTGTTAAACCACGCCTGCGTACGATGTTTCGTGTTGCTTAGCTGCACGATCTGCCCGTCATGTCTTCAGGCGCACGAGACACCAGTGTCGAAACTGAGGTCGCATGGTGGTGCTAATTCAACACACGAAGCCCTTGCATCCGGCGTTCCAGTGGTTCCTCTACCCTTTTTTGACGACCAGCTACTTGGTTAAAAGGTGAGACGCAATTCTGAATTCGCTTGCGGCTCAATGCGGCATTGGAGCTGCCTGTTGAGGTTTTACATTGCAAGCCGCTTGGAGGAGCTTCGGTGTTCTATCTGCATTTGCGGTGTCCTGAGGTTTCTGGAAGTGGCACGGCATGCAAGCACTTACATGTCCTGACTTGGTGTAGAGGAGCTGTATGGCTATAGTTGCCCGCCTCTGCGCAAAGCGACTCTTCGGAGCGTCGGGGCCGTTCAGCAGGCCGGTGCCTTGCGCCACTTGCTCTGACGGATTCACTTTCATGCTAGGTTGCAGGAGCCGTCTACCAGGGCTTGAAGGTATCTGAATCGCTCCTGGAGTCTTTGCGCCGCCAGGCAGGATTCAGCAAGATGGGCCGATGAGGAAAACCTGTTTTCATGTACTCGGAGCCTTGTTTTGCAGGTTTCCGGCGAAGCTGGTGCGGCCGCGGCCGCCAGAAGCATTGTGGAGCTGACCCAATCGAATTGAGATGACTCTGTCAGTGATGGCAGCAGATGACAGTGCTGCGCGGCCCTGTGCGCTCTTCTTCTCCCTGGTACTGCGGCAAAGCCCGAGGCAACCAGCCCCAGTGCGGCAGTGTACAGGGTATGCACTGAGAAAGCTTGTACAGTGTACAGATGCGTACAGTACAGGAGCCCTATGATGGCCAATCCAAATCGCCAAAGCAGCGATCAGCCTCAAACGGGTTCGCTTTCCAATCGGCCGTAATTGTTTCCTCATGCATCTGTAAATTCTGCTGCTTCGGCGAGGCACCTGGAGAACTTCCTCGGCTCCCTTTTGCCACGCCTGTTTGAAGTGCGCACAAAGCACATCATGGCCTCGTCAGCCAACTGTGACCGGGCCGATGTTTGCAGGTACTCAGCGATCTTGCTTGTACAGGCGCTTCTTCTGAAGAAGTTGTGAGTTGACCCACCTGGCATAGCCTGACATTCTGCCATAGGCTCCGAGACACTGCGGCAGAGTGGCATTTGGAAGCTGGCTCTGGAGGCGGAAAATTGCGACATTATCAGTTTCGAAGAGTCAGGTAAGGCGGCTGGTGGCCAGTGGAAACCGGGAGGGCAAATTGGCGAAGGATGTGTGAAGTGGCACAGGGACACACGGGGCTAGGCCACCTTCCTAGCAAAATCAAGAAGCAGCCAAGCGCGAGAGCTGCACGCCTGAAAGAGCTTCAAAACCATCGCCAGGCCTTGTTCTACTTGGCTTGAAGCTTAGCCTTCGCACTGTGCCTTTCCTTCGTGTTCTGAATGATATCCAGCTGGTTGTGGGGGTGAAAGCTGCAGGCAGAGCACTTCATCATAGCAAAATGAACGCCTGCCACGTGTCAGATGGGCTGAGGTGGAAGACAGCTTGGCAGCTGTTGGCCGCTGTGATCTAGACCCCGCTGCATCTTGGCTGATTCATTCCTGCGTTTCCCATTGCTCGGCATGTCAGATCTTTTTGCCGCGGAACTGCGGTTTGCATGCAGATGTCTCCTCCTTCATCTCCTTCTTTTTGTGGGCAGATTCTGGATCCCCATGCAGGAAGACGAGCAAATACTGTTGTTGATGGTAAGAATCCTGCATGAGCTTAGTCTACTACAATACCAAGGGTGGCAGGGTATCAGGCGCTTAGGGTCATGCAGGTTTTTGCATCCACCGTATTGAAGGAATTTGTTGAAAGATCTGAGACACTTGAGGAGGCTGACAAGCAAGAAGATAACGCAAGATAAGCCGGGACATGAAAACGGCGTGTGCGATAGTACTATGTGAACGTCCAGGTGCGAAATGAGGCGGTTGTGGCCATTTTGGCTCAAGAGGACCGCTGCCTGCATTGACGAGTTTCTATCCCACCCTCCCGCCCGGAAAGGAGCCCGTGGCTGCAACAGGTCCTTGTCCAGGATGGCCACAAGGGGCAGAAGCAGCAGCTCCTGTTCAGGTGGTTCCCCGGGAGAGAATCAATGGGAGGATCATGATCAGCATCCGAGGTCCTCGTAGTCCATGTAGTCCCCAGGTTAGTTGTCGGCATATTCTTTATCTTTAACGTACTACCACCGGCTGTCATCACGCCATTGGTCACCGGACCACCAGTGATCGTCGAGCCAGGCCTCAGAGAGGGTGGCAAACCAAAGTTTCGGGATTCGACAGTCCAGTCTTCGTGAAGACGAATAATCGCCCCAACGAACTCTTTGTGGACCAAGGTCTCCCGAATGAGGAAGCTGCCGATGGTCTCCTGGCAATTGCGCCTGCAGGAAAAGTACTGTACTGTTGGCATATCGCAACAACAGTATAAGGTAGGGTCTTGCGAACCCGCGTTAGCGTGAAGCCGGAGGATGCCGTCAACAGCTACTCGCGCGTAGCAGGGCTGGACTTTGCTCTGACTCCGCTCTGGGCGGGAGGGTGGGAAAAACAACGCGTCGATGCAGGCAGCGGTCCTTTTGAGCCAAACGGCCACGATTGCCTCCTTCCCCACCTGGACATCCACATAGTACTATCGCACAAGCTGTGGATACCCTTGTGTCGCATCGACGGATCCTCAAAGGAAACTCGTCAGGCTCGATTCTCCAGCGGGCACGCAGTGACTGTATCCCTTGCAGCCTTGTCGAATCCTTCTCAGCTCTGGGCGTCAAGCCGGAGGATTTCCTCAACAGAGCCACTCACGCGGAGCAGGGCGGGACTTTGCTCCTCAGGTCAGGCCTTTGGGTTCTTCTCTGCTCCCCTGTATATAATCCATGAAGGAAAAGAAGGACTGGCTGTCCGGGTCGCCAGCGTCACAATTGCTGGCACCACTGGAATTTGGAAAGAGATTGAACGGTCAGGATGGTGAAAAAGACGGTGGCGCGGCGTGGACACCTCCCAGCTTTGAGACAAGACTGTAGTCGAATCGGTTGGAGCCATTAGCCAGATTGGATTTGGATCCCACATTGTCTATGCAGACATCAATGCCAACCTTGGAGTCTTTCTGCCAGTAAACTCCAACCAAAGGTGACGGTTCCACTTGCGGACTATGTCCAAGACAAGCAGCTTCCGAATTGTTGTCATTGAAATGAAGCAGCTTGTGCGTCCCAATTGAGACCACACGTCTACGAGATGTTGAGGCGCGACCAAACTTGTGTATTTCAAGCGTTGTCGGGCTCGGCCGAAGGAGTTGCTGCTCCAAGAACGAATCATTTTCTTCGGCGATGCGGAACATCAGATTCGTCCGTGTACAGGATGGGCCGATCTACCTCTCAAAGATCCGAATAGCGCGAGGGGAAGCTCGATGAGGAACTCCTTCATCAGTCTCCGGCCGATCTCGAGAAGCCGGTCAATGGATATAGTGTGGAAACAGGTGAGACAGACATAGACAGACTACTGCCGCTCTCAGATTGTTTTGGTGCAACACCTTCCGACCTTGCTAGGCGGATGCGTTTTTTCCCTCGCCCCGGCTGTAAGGATTCCTTATCAGCCACCACCATCGTAAGGATTCTGCAAAATGTCTGACTTTGAGTGATTCTGTCAGCAGTGATACCCGGTCACGGGTGGCCTGTTCCTACTCAAGGTATGAGAAAGGGCCCTTTCTCTGCGGCTTGTTTTCATGAGAATTCCTTGAGTCTTTCGGATTGCGCTCGGAGCGCATCTCGGGAGAACCGAGCAACTGGAGACATCTGACGAGTTTCCTTTGAGGATCCGTCGATGCGGCACTATGCCGATGTCCAGGTGCGAAAGGAGGCAATCGTGGCCATTTTGGCTCAAGAGTCTTTTGGAGATCCGTCGACGCAGTACAAATGTATCCAACTGCACAGAAAAGCAGCACTTGCAACTTGCAGGAGTGCACATGGCTAGCCGCTTTGGTCTCCAAAGAAGGCAGCCAACGATGTTCACTTGTCTGCTTGCATATGCGTTTGTGGGGAGCACGCCATGACGATAATATGTATGACGAGTGCCACAGCCGGTGTTTTGTAGCTGCTTCCGCCATCCGCTTGTTGGCAAGTCTGCAACACAATTGGCACCACCGCATACCTGTCCCAGCTGACAGCGTCAACGAGCGGATCGCCAGGAAAAGTAGCTGCAACACATAGGCTGGAATGTGGGGGCACTCATCATACCGGGGCTGGTTCCTTGGCCGTTTGCGGGAGGTGGGGAGCTCAATTGGGGGAGCTGAAGGGTTGAGGGAAGCTTCGAAGGGCTGGAATTGAGTTTCAGGGGTTTGAAGGGGGATTGAGCGACAAGCGAAGGCCGAAGGCTTTAATACTGAAGCTCCTCCATCCTAGGTCCCAGATCCCACAAATCCTGTTCTGCAGGTTAGGCAGGCAGCATCCAAGTGCTGGAAATGACAGTGCCAACAACTGAGCCGAAAAAATAACCCCGCATGTAGAGATTATCATAGTGCCCACATTATATCTTTGATATGGCCATAGTTCCCTGGGCGGTGCCTTAGAACCGTGACAATTTGGGGTTGGCCGAGATGCTCCTTCATTGGCAGGCGTGTGTGACCGATACCAACCGATACGCCTTGCAACAAGCAGTAGTGATGATAGAAGGTAAACTTCTAGAGTCGGCAGGCCTTCTAAATGAGCCGACGCCGATACCCAAACGATACCCTTACCCATGCCCTGGACCCCCCTTCAGAAGGACATGTGACTATAGCCTCAATTTTTGATATGACAGGGACATGGGCGTGCCTAGATGGTGGGCAGCTTCTGTTCTGCAGTAGGACACCAAAGGGCATCGCAATATGGGTTTGGGCCGCGCAGAATAGGTTCCACCAGGGATGCCCCTTGTCCGGATGAAGGCGGCCCCAGTTAAAATTGATGGCGAACGTTTGGGTAATGAATTCATGATTTTTTTTTCGACAACTTTTTTCTGACTGGATTCACTCCCGCGCACGATTTTTCAAGGAATCCCCAACTGTTGCCACCCCACCATCATCAACGGTTCGCAAGTGGGATGGGGCTGCGTCATCCCAACCCCTTTTTTGAGTGTCCCCACTTCCGGCACGACCACGCACAATTTGAAATGAAGTTGAATTTGCTCCCACGTTCTGCGATGTGCTGCGCCCCCCAAGAGCCTGCTTTTCAAACCAGTGTCTTCAAATCAAGGACGACCCGCATAACTTCTGGTAGATTTCATTGCCTCTCTTTGGTCAATGATTTGCAGCCTGCTTTGATGAACCGGTGGTCTCACACTTGCGACATGAATGACCCTGCGTCACTGCGAATGCTTCGTCCAGTGCTGAAGAATTCTTCGACGGTTTGCTAATGGGATAGGCCTGCGCCCCCCCAGCCCCAAATCCATTATTTCAAGTTGTTCATCCTTCTTTGTTTTCGTTTTATCCCTGAACTCGTTTTGCTTACTAGATGGGGCATCCAGAGTTTGTGGCATTCTGACCCATCAAAAGACCCTGCCTTTGGCTCTCAGTTCTCGCACCAAGGCTTGTCCCAGCACCTGTCTTACGCTTGCTTCCACATCAGACTCCAAACTCACAAATCCAGGTGCCAGACGGTGAATAGT